GCAGGAACAAAAACAAAGTTGCTGGAAAATCTCAGCAGGTCTGGCAGCATCTGTGAAGGAGAAAACAGAGTTAACATTTCGGGTCTGATGAACCTTCCTCAGAACTGATGATTTGCAGACCTGATTGAAGAAATTGGATCAAGTATGGTTTCACAAAGGAGTAATCTAGGAGTGACAGCCATCATCTAAAGAACTGGGGTGACAGGCTCAGGTGGAATTGGTCTAATGGTATGCTACATACGTATGTTATCCATACAGGCTCAATGAAGGAGAGATCAAATTCTTGTATCTTGTTTCCATTTTCAAGTATCTATCAAATATATTTTTAAATCATTATGGATTTGCTTTCATCAATTGGTTCTTGCCAGGCATAACCTACTGAATGGAAAATATATATTGAAAACATTTCCTCTCTTGTTCTTCTTATCAACACTCTTTAATCATTCTTTTTGGATATTGTAACTCCTTATCTGTTCTATCAAAGTCCCCTTTAATTTTGAGCATCTTCCCTTATCAACCCATGCTTTAAATTGACAATTCCAATTGTTTCAATTCGTCACTTTCATGAAGCAGACAAAAGATTTTTTTTTCCTGTTGAAGAAATAATGGAATTACTTTATAATTGATTCCCACTGAAAGGTATCTTGAATGGATACAAATATAAACCCCCTCTAAATTTAATCTCCAAAGATCTCGATGGCCTGCAATGCAACAATGGGCTTAACTGAGTTGTTCTTGTGCAGATATTTCCACCTGTAATATACTCATCAAATTCGTTTGCAGATAGCCCCGCAAAACCTGGGCCACCTATTATTTCTGTAACTTAAGCAGAATCTTTGAATATAGGATGGAAATAAACAGATTGGAGAAGTTAAGGGCACTTTGATCTGAAGTGCGTTTTTGGAAAGGGCAATGGAAGAAAATTCAATGATAACTTTCCACAGGGATTTGGATAAATTCTTGAAAAGAAATATTTTCTGGATCACAGGGATAGAACAAGGATGAGTTGGGGCTAATTCAACAGCTCTCCTACAGAGGTGATACGGAAATGATGGGCCGAATACCGCCTCTCTGTGCAAAATTAATCTATGATTTTGACTAGGGAAAGACACCGGGAGAGTTCCAAGTATCCCCATTTATGTATGGGCCTAGACTGGAAGTATTCACCAGCTATTCTACTCTATCAATTCTAACAGGCAAAAACAGTCCTGTCTCTAAATCAAATCCACTCCTTATCGGGAGGATGGACGCAATTAAAAGTCGGATTCCTGGCGGGTTTTGTTTGCAGTCAAGAGTATTGGAGCCTCTCACCTTTGCCTGGCACGTGTTTACGCATCGATAATTGAGAATAAAATCCGCTGTCTTATTGACCACCCAGTGAACCCCCAAGAAAAGCTCGGATAATGGTTTCAGTGGGAATTATCATTATTTAAATAGTCGTCATTTATAAAGTTGAGGCTTGTTTTGTTTGCATCCAACTGCGGGTACGGGCTGCGGAGCTCGCTGTCTGTGGTGCTGAACACTTCCGTCACACACGGGGATTTAGCCGAGCGTTCAGCACCACGGACAAATCTCACCTGAATAGGGCTTCGCAATCGTCGCACTTTCCAAGAGTCGTGCAGAGTTAATTCACCGTTTATAAGCAATAAAAAGTGGGTAATAGTGAACGAAGAAAAATAAAAGCGCTTGCAGTTTTCCCTCAGCTCGTGAAATATTTTGCAAATGTGAATATCTTATTCGATCATTGTCTGTCCTGGATTCTATTCCTTTCTGCAACTTCTGTCTGTTACCAAATACAGACCCATTTTGCAGAACCAGTTTGCTAATCTACCCCAGAATTACGCAAAATTAGTCCTAAAACTCTAGCATTCATTTTCACCCTCGTTGATATCTAATTGATGTTTAGAGTTCTATTAAAACGAATTAGCGTGGGCGCCTAAGGTGCAAATGATTTTTGCTATTTATCGGATCGTCTATCTCAAGCAACAACAAAAATACATCAGCCGCGGTTTTATGAGCCCTGAGAAGTCATTGCAGCATTATTGAATATCGCGTACAGTGTTTCCTCTAGCCCCTAGACCCCACAAAAAAAACACACATACTCACACACACCACTAACTGCTGTCTAAAAAATGCTGGGAATGGCACTGCTTCTGTTACTAAGAGGCACTGATCAAAATTATCCATTCTAAATGTAAGACAAACAATATCACTTTTAATAAATAGCACGGGACACTGGCTGCCACAGTTAGAAATCAGTAACAGAGTGGTACATGTAAGTGAGCGTATTACCTTGTGCAGCTGTTTCATACAATGTCTCTGTGTGGTATTATGTGTGTAAATGTAGGTGGCGTATACACAAATGTACGCAATCGTACTGTTATGGATGATAGTATATGCCCTTGGGTATCAGTTTGTGTGTGATGTTGTGTACACTGCTGCTCAATTTAGGGGTAGGGGGATGAATTGCATTTTGATGTGTGCAAAGTAGTATAATGCCAAATGTAGAGTATTAATTATAATCTACTGTCTAATTAAATACAATAGTGTAATGGACACAGTTTTGAATGATGCGTCAGAGTTTATTAGAAGGTCTTTAGACTCGCTTCATGTGTACAGATTTGTGTCTCTGACCAGAGTGGATCAGTGCAGATGAGTGGATGCAGTGTTGAGATGCCAGTTTATGATGTATTATTGTGTTTTTATGTGCGTAAATTGTGTCTGAATGTGCGCCTACATATACCCCTGTTTACAGATGTAGATATATTGCAGCCTTTTGTATATTTTTTTTGTATAATTGCACGTCTGTGGGTGAATGAGTGTGTAACTATGTAATTGTGTATTTGACAGGGCATGTAGAATGTGTGTTTGGATCAATGAGTATGATCAAGTGTCTGTGTGTCGTTTCCTATCTATCGTCTATCATGATTGTCTGAAGATGAGAGTTTGGCCAGTTGTGTATAATTGTGTATATTTTGGTGTTTGTGTGTATAGTTGTGTGTGGTTAAGTGTGTCTTTATTTGTTGTTCTTAGTATTTTAATATTGTGTCTCATGGTAACGTAGTTGTGTATGGTCTAATAAGTCAGTGTGTGTGAATGTGCATGTAGATGTGTGTGACTGGCATTGATGTGTGTCTATCATTGTGTAGGTGTGTCAATTTTTGTGTATGTGTGTGTCTAAATGTATAAGGTTCTGTGTCTGTATGTGTGTAGGTATTTAAGGTTGTGTGTGTCCATTGTATTCGTAGGTACGTAAGGTTGGGTGTTTAGGTATGTGTGATGTGTCCGGTTGTGTGTGAGGTTGTATGTGTGTGTTCATCGTGTCTGTATGTGTGTAAGTTTGCATGTGTACATAATTGCGTGTGTCGTTGTGTCTCTGGGTGTGTAAAGTTGTGTTTGTGTGTAGATCTGTAAACTTGTGTGTGGGTGTGTAAACTTGTATCTGGGTTTGTGAGGTTGTGTGTATGTGTGTCCATCATTTATGTGTAGCTGTGCAAGGTGTGATTGTGTGTGAAAGGTTGTGCGTGAGAGAGATTCTGAGTGTATGAGGTTGAGTGTGTGTGAATGAGAGCTGTGTGAGAGAGAGGTTGTACCAGTGCCTGTGAAGCTGTTTGAGTATGTGAGAGGGTGTGTGTGTGAGAATGTGAGTGAGAGTGTTGATACCTGTTCACACACTGCCGTTGCGTTCCCTGAGCATCAATGTTCCGCGCAGGCAGCAGGAGAGGCTCAGTCCCGAGCAGCTCTCTCCCGGAGCTCGCTGTTGCCGGCTCAGCCCGTGCCTCCTGCCGAGGGGGAGGGAGAAGTCCCGGCCGCCGCACATCGCCGCTGCACACCGCCACACTTTGGAGAAACTCGGCGGCTGACTGGGCAGCACTTGTAGCTGGGAGCTCGGTGTGCAGGAAGGAAATGCGGAGGGGCCAGGGATCCGAGCCGCTCCGCTCGGCCCCTCTAATTCCCGGCAGCTCGCTGTGACACCGAGAGGCAACAGGCGGAATGAGAGAGTGGGATTTCTCAGGGCAGGGCGAGAGCCCGGCTCCATCCCGGACCCCGAGAGTTCCCTGGATCCCACCGGGAGCGCAGCGCCCCTGGGGCGGAATGATCAGCCGCTGAGAGCCGCTGAGAGCCCGGAGAGCGGGAGCAGCGAGGGCTCCGGACCGACAGAGCTTCCATTGAGAGGGACCGAGCAACTGGAAACAGCCCGTCTTCACTCGGACACCCCGATCCGGCTCCGGGAACAACCCGGGACCGAGTGTCCGCTTCAAACACCAGGCAACAAGTTACACCCGGGGGTGAGGTGGGGGGGGGGGTGCGGGGGGCTGGGGGGGGGGGGGGTTAGGCCGGGTGGGGGCAGGGGGAGGGGATTTGCTAAACTGAATCCTGCCTGAACTGACTAAAGGCCGGGATTAGGAACCGATCCGGGTCTACCTGCGGGGAGCTGGGAAGGTTATTTGTCCCAAACGGGACCAACTCCAGCCAAAGTGATCGAACCGGCACCATTCCAAACCCAAATTCCCCCCAACCCCAACCCAAATCCCAACCCCATTCCATCCGGCCTATCCATCCCGTACTATCCCCTTGCTGACTGCCCCATACTAACCCAGATCAATCAACCCCAACCAATTCAGCTTAAACCGGTCCATCCCGAGCTAACCCATACTAAATCCACCCAAACCAATCCACCCTAAACCTAACTAATCCGTTATTAACCCATCCCGAACTAATCCAACCCCAAATAACCCAGCCCAAGCCCAATTCGCCCCCAAACCCAACTGAGGTCTAACCCCGTGCCCCCGGCCACAGCTTTACCAAACCCACCACCCCCAGCGGGTCCGTGGGACCCATCGGTTGCCCACTTCGTTCCTTCATCGCTCAATGAGTTGAGGAGCTCGTGCACGTTGGGGGGAGCGCGCGAGGTGGCGCGCCCTCGCGGCCGGAGTGCCCGGGGTGCTGTGGGCGGGGGAGGCGGGGATGCGGCGCGCTGGAGCCGGGCTCTGGTGGCCATGAAGCGGCAGAACGTGCGGACTCTCTCCCTGATCCTCTGCATGTTCACCTACCTGCTGGTGGGCGCCGCCGTCTTCGACGCGCTGGAGTCCGACTTTGAGACCTCCCGCAAGCGGCTGCTCAACTCCAAACGGATGGAACTGAAGAACAAGTACGGCATGAGCGACGAAGACTACAAGGAGCTCGAGTGGGTGGTTCTACAAGCCGAGCCGCACCGCTCTGGGCACCAATGGAAATTCGCCGGCTCCTTTTACTTTGCCATCACCGTGATCACGACCATAGGTGAGAGAGGGTCAAGGCTTTTAAGAGTGTGTTCCGCTCACACAGGACTGGCGGTGAGTCCAGCGCAGAGAACTGGGAGTATAACTGGGAGAGGGAAGGGGCTGGTGAAGTGTTAAACTTTGGCAAACAGGGCAAAAGTAGTCTGGTTGGACGCTCTAACTGGTACAGGTTGCTTCCTATAATTCCAAGAGCCTCATAGCTCTGTGTGACAGTAATAACACGAGGATGCTCAGATGGAAACGTATCAGAACGGGCCCTTTTGTTCTCAAGTGACTCCCATGTTCTAATAAGGAGAAACATACGGCAAAAGGGCTCGTCATTGTACCCTGAAAGCGGGTCTCAATCTTTCCCATGTTCAGAATAGGAGCTCAGCATGGAGATTGAACCTCCTACAGACCTAGCTGTGTGAAAACTGGCTAACTGACCCTACTGTGCTCCCGGGGAAACTACACAACCTTCCTCAGTAAGGCATTCACCTCGAAATGACCAACTTTTTTTCACAGGAGAGCCTGGATTTGACAAGATTGTAATGAGAACCAGCTTTTTCAAAACTTCATTTTAATGATTTAGATCACGCAGTGATTGCTGTGTGCTGTGGAAGATATTCTGTTACACTCATCAGGACAGACTCAAGAATGCCACTTTTCAAAGGTGGCACCAATTTGAACCACGTGAGGAAAAGATGCTGATTGGTTGACAAGATGCTCAGATTAGATGATGATGTGGAGGTGCTGGTATTGGACTGAGGGGTGGGCAAAGTCCAAAGTCGCACAACACCACATTATAGTCCGACAGGTTTATTTAAAATTACAAACTTTCTGAAGCTGCTCCTTTGTCAGGTGATGTGGAGAAAGGCACACAGATTAGTTGAGACAGAGTGAGGGCTTTTGCACAGATAATGTTCTCAGGATGTACATCTTCCTGGCCAGGCCAGCATTGAATACTCACCTGTAATTGCCTGGGAACGATGGGTGTGAGCCACCTTCTTGGACTGCTTTAGTCACCAACTCCTCAAACTAGAGTCCACTCATCCCATTGACTGGAATATACTGGTCTACACCTTGAATTACATAAAAACATAGAAAATAGGAGCAAGAGGAGGCCATTTGGCCCTTCAAGCCTGCTCTGCCATTCAATATGATCATGGCTGATCATCCAACTCAGTCCCTGTCCCTGTTTTCTCCCCATTCCCTTTGACCCCTTTAGCCCTAAGAACTATATCTAACTCTTTGAAAATGTTCAATGTTTTGGCCTCGACCAGTTTCTGTGGTAGTGAATTCACAGGCTCACCACTCTCTGGGTGAAGACATTTCTCCTCATCTTGGTCCTACATGGCCAATTCCATATACTTAGACTATGACCCTGGTCTGGACTTGCCCACCATCAGGATCAAACTTCCTGCCTTTACCTTGACTCGTCTTGTTGGAATTTTATAGGCTTCCATGAGCACCTTTCATTTTTCTAAACTCCAGTAAATGCTCCCAATAATCCCACAAACTGAATCACACTTATCCCACAATAATGCTGCACACTGAATCACACTAATTCCACAGTAATTTAATCTAGTTAAAATTAAACAAAGAACTGTAGATGCTGGATCATGAAACAAATAAAAAACAGAAATTGCTGGAGAAGCTCAGCAGGTCTGGCAGGATCTGTGGAGAGAGAAACAAAGTTAACATTTTCAGTGCAGTGACCCTTCAGAGCACTGAACTCAAAAACACTATGTTTTCTCTTCACAGATGAGTTTCTCCAGCACTTTGTAGGGTTTTTGTTTGTTAAATTACTCTCATCATTACTTTAGGTCATACATTTGCTTTCTTCTGTTTTGTTTGAATTTTGTCAAGCCTTTGCCCATATGTTGGGGTACAGAATGGAAGCAAAAAGAGTCTTCAGGTCATGCATATCTTCCTAATGTCATGCCTTTAGTCCTTTGTGGTGAGCGTAATTCAGTCTGGGAATTATGTAGTGCAACCTGGGTTTGGTGTTACTCAGTCTGGGATTAGGGTAGTACAATTGTGGGATTAGTGCAATCCAGCCTGGGATGTTAGTGTAATCCAATCTGAGATGAAATTAATTCAGTCTGTTATTAGTACAGTCTGTGGGATTAGTGTGACACAGTTTTAGGTGGTAATCTACCCTCTCAGTAGGATTAATCTATTCAGACGTCAGCATTAGAGCAATTGAGATTAATATAAATCAAACTGCAGGATAGTAGGTATGAATCTGGCATTAATTTGATTTGATTTATTATTGTCAGATTGCCTAGGTACGGTGAAAAGTTTTGTTTTGCATGCAGTGCAGGCAGATCATACCATACAAAGTGCATTAGGATAGTAGAACAGAATGAAGAATACAATGTTACGTATGGACCACAACAAACCTCCTCAAACCATAACAAGGTGAAAGTCTAGATCCTAACTTCATATTTAAAGGTGAATGTAAGGCGCTGCAATCCAGGTCTGATTTGATTAGTCAAAATACTAGACTTTATAAAAAAAAATACATTTTATTCTTACACCACAGTTAAAATACAAGCAAAAAAAAAGAATTGGCATAACTTTAACTCTATCAAAATATTAACAAAATAATATATTATTTAACTACTACTCATCAAGTGTTCCAATTGAGCAGGATTCAATAAACACACCCTTGGCAAAGGCAAATTCAGCAAATCAGATTTCCCTCATTTGCAATCTCCTCCAGTCCAGGAGAAGGAACACCAACAGAATGAATCTAACAGCAGAGAGAGAACTCAAGCTTATTGCAACAGCAGCAGAGAGAGCTGTACCTAGTAGCTTCAACTCCAAAATGCCAATTTCGACAGCTGAAAGCAAAACTAAAACCCTGGGTCTGAGTGAGCCTGACTCCACCCACTCATGCTTCTTTTCTCTACTTATAAAAAAAAAACCCAAAGATATATACTCTGCTTTCCATGGAGCAGACACCTCAGCACTGGGTTTACAACACCCCTCTTCAAGAGAAACAGGGCAGAACAAATCCCGCTTAAAAATACAGATCATCACATCAATCTTAGTGTCATTCAGGGATTGGCATAATTCAATCTGTGACTGGTGTAGGTAAATCTATCAAAGTAGTGCAGTTAAATTGTGGGTTTTATATAATTGAAGTTTGTGATGATTATCTTATAGTCTCTGGGATCATTGTAATTCAGTTGTCAGATTATTGTAATCCAGGCTGCTGGTTCACTTTAATACAAGCTGTGCGATTACTGTAATTCAGTCTCGGATTAGCATAATTCAGTATTTGGGCTTTGGGTTCTTTCATCTAAATATAGTGTGATTCAGACTGTGGAATAACAGAAAATCTTCGTGTGTTTAATATAATTCAGTATGATGTTATGATCTCAAATGATCGTAATACTCATCAAATCACATTCCAGAGTGAAACCTAATTTGATAGAGCATACATTTTATTTCTGCAGTGTTTTTCCCATGGTGATCATTCACTGAACAAATCCACAAGAGGCTGATAATGCACTTTAAACAAAAGAAAATCAAAGTTTATTACACATAAAAAGCAGAAAAAATACACAAAGTATTTAACACTATATGAAAACTAGTTGAAATGGTTTTATTACAAATATCAGAAATAAACATTCAATCTTTTCATCCTCAACACAACCTTGCAGCTACATAAGCCTCAGTGAAGGACTACCCTGTTTCCATATTTATGTTCCTTGTTCAGTGGACATGGCCATACTTGAATTCTATTCAGCCAGCCTCTGCAGTCACTAAATGCTGTATTCTTCAGTTAATGTCTCATGCTGAGACCCTTAAACAAACTGCAAATGCAGCTCACTTATTTCTGAGCGTTTCATTAAACTCATGCATTCAATGTCCTTGTGTAGTACCTTCCTCTTTTAGACTTTACAGCCTTATGTTTTTAGAGATTTTTGCTTCTAAATTTCTAAACCCCTTTTTTTATTTTCTTCAGCCCTAACTGTTTTTTGGAGTTTGCAAAATTGCTGTGCTGCCCTTACAGATATTTCCTGTCTAAATGAAATGCTTCTCTCTGAAAAAAACCTGCACGCTCATTCAATATCCAGATGATTCTCTTTCCAAAAGAATTTCTCTCCCTGTCTCCCTGAATCCTAGGACACTTTACCCATTTTTTCTTCTTCTTCTTTACAACTCCTTGCTTTCTAAAGAGCTATTCACCTCAAGTGTTTTTTAAAGGTTTTATTTGAGTGCATGTAAACCAACTTCCAGACAATCTGGTACCCCTCACCAAATTCAAATGTTAACCTTATAGAAATACAATATAGAAATACAAGGTAAATTTTAAAGTATACATTGAGAAAAATCTCTACTGAGAACACAAGATTCCAAATAATATCATCACACCTCACAACTGAGGAAACATTTTGGAAATTTATCTTTAAAGGGCACTTTCATTTTCCTATTTCAATTTTTTAACATTGCTATATCTATTCTACTTGTGCAAATGCAACTTTAACAGTAGCAATATGATTGCATTGAATAATCATATTCTACTCATGTCCATCTTAATTCCAACATTCTTTTTCCTCCATATTTTTGCTTGATAAAGCATCCATTATAATAGATCTTTAGAGGCAAGATTTTTCTAATTATATGGTTGTGGCATTAAATTCCAATAAAACAGTCCTCAAATGTTATCAAAAGTATAGAAGGAGTATCATCCATATAACTAACAGTCTCTGTAAAGTTTTTGGGAATGAAGACTTCAAAACATTGTAGCAGTATTACCAAACTGAAAATCTATTTAATCCAAGTATATAAGTTAGGAGCAGAAATAAGCCATTAGACTCTTCAAGTCTGCTCTGAGATTCAATAAGACCTTGGCTGATATTATTTTTCAAAGTTCACATTCCCAATTACCACTAACAACTTTGAATTTATTTGCCTAACAAGAATCTACCTATCTCCACATTAAAAACTTCCAATGTCCCCACCTGCATCACCTTTGGTGGTAAAGTGTCCAAAATCATACGACAT